AGCTACTGGGAGAAGTGCAGCTAGACCGGTTCTTAAGAGTCGCACTTGTATTCTGGGAGGCCATGTGGTGAAGCATTAGTTCCTATATATGCCAGAGTGTCCGATTCAACTTTTAGGACGAGATCTATTATCGAAGCTTTAAGCTCAGATAACCTTTTACCTAATGGATTAACATCTCTGAAGTTTAAGGGGTTACCAGGCATAATGGCGATATCGGTGCCAAGGGAAGAAGAATGGCGCTTCTATTCCATAGTGACAAGTGTTAACCCTAAGAGTGATGAATCCTTACTTGACATTCCAGGAGTATGGGAAGAAAATAATCCTCCAGGACTTGCTCGTAATATCCCACCAATACATATTGAGTTAAAGCTCGGGGTGTATTCTGTTAGCCTTTGTATGTTGTTCTTTTATCTACCCCAACAGCTGTAAAGGTGGCGGAAGTGACTCCTTGGATTCATCATTCTAAGGTTAAATCAGCGGCAGACTCTTGGCAAGCTACTCCAGATCCTGAGAATCCTTGCAGGACCCGGTTGAAGCATGCAACTCAGTCGGAGTGACGAGGGGATATCGAGACATTCTAGTTAAAAGTCTACAAAGATCATCAAGTAGGTGTTTTGACGGCCATAATAAAGCCTGACCACCTGCCTACGTGTTATAGCCAGAGTATCTTGAAGGGATCTCTGTGAAGGAAAGTGAGGATCAGAAGAACAACATCCTTGCAGCCCTCACAATCGGGAAGCTGAGAGGCCATCGCACGGTCGAAGAAAAATGAGGATTTCAGGAATAATGTGTTTTATTGTGTCTTAGTATTTTTATGATTTTTCAGGAAGGTAGGAGTACAGACATACCGAATTGCGATAGTTGCATTAAGACTACTAAAACAGGTAACCAAATATCCCAAACTCTCATCTGGCACTCACAGTATGAATGTAAGGGATCTGTATCTAAATGTAGATATTTGGATATTGATTATAGTGTGTGCAAGCCAATATCAGGAGAGTCTAAATGTTTTGATCCCCAATTCCAACCCCGTACAATTTGGTTGGTAATTCGGAATAGTAACTCCCAGGGGACATTAATAAATAGGACTGTGATAAGCACCATACATTCCACGGGTATTCTACTATTTGATGCATGTAAGGCGATTTCAGGTAGTGGAAGACTTTGGAATGTATGTGGTAATCTTAAATGGGAACGAACTTATGGGTTTAATGATAAATACTTATGTCCCAGTAAAAGATCTACTGATTGCCCAAATAGAGACTAACTTCTGCCCCTATTTGTCATGTGTAGGTTGGGCAACCTGGGAAAAACAGTGGATCAAGATATGATTATCCAAAGGTTGCCTACCACACCATACTGTAAAACTATGTGTGTAACCCCGTTCACATGACCATTTCCAATCTGCAGTACTTTATTGACAGGTTTGGAGGTCTGTTTGGGTTCCAAATATATGGCACAGGAGTAGATCCAGGAACAATAATATATGTAGTTCTTGAAACTGAGACAGTGGCAACTCAAACTCATCAGGTTTTCCATTCCTTTTATGAGGAGATGAGTGTTGAGGATAAAATTCCCCATAATGTTAACAACCTATTTATTGATTTGGCTGAGGGTATTGCAGGTAGTCTTAATGTAACTAATTGCTATGTGTGTGGAGGTACTAATATGGGAGACCAGTGGCCATGGGAGGCAAAGGAAATATGGTACCCTGGCTCTGAGACATATGAACAACAGATACCTTTTCAGTCTGATCATCAAGTAAGTACTAGAAGTAAATTGGAATGGTGGTTAAAAACCTCCATTATAGGTCATGTTTGTATAGCCAGGAAAGGGACAATGTATAACATGTCTGTAGGTGAGCTAACTTGCTTGGGACAAAAAGCCTATAATGTTAATACTAAAAATACTACTTGGTGGTCAGCTTCAAATGTCTCGGAACCTACTAATCCGTTTGCCAATTACACTCATTTAAAGGAGGTATGGTTTGACTTATCGGCTACATCTAGTTGGAAAGCCCCAGCAAATTTATACTGGATTTGTGGTAAGAAAACTTATTCGGAGTTACCACAAGATTGGGAAGGGGCATGTGTATTAGGTATGCCAAAGCCATCCTTCTTCTTGCTGCCAATCGAAACAGGAGAGACCTTGGGAGTTAAGGTTTACGATGTAAATCATAAAAGGGAGAGAGCATCCTTGAATATAGGTAGCTGGGAAGATAATGAGTGGCCCCCTCAACGTATTATTAATTATTATGGACCTGCTACTTGGGCAGAAGATGGCACTTATGGATATAGAACTCCGATTATATATGCTCAACCGCATTATTAGACTACAGGCGGTAGTTGAGATTATTACTAATGAGACAGCTCAAGTGCTTAATCTTCTAGCTAAGCAAAATACCAAGATGTGATCAGCCATATACCAGAATAGGCTAGCCCTTGATTACTTACTAGCAGTAGAAGGAGGTGTATGCGGAAAGTTTAATCTAAGTAACTGTTGTCTGCACATAGATGATGAAGGGCAGGCAGTGGCTGAACTTACAAGCCACATGGTTAAATTTGAGCATGTACCTACTCAGGTCTGGAATGGGTATAACCTAAGTAGTTGGTTTGGAAGTTGGTATGAGCAGCTTGGAGGAATTAAGACATTAGTAGGAGGAGTAGAATTTATTATATTTTTTTGTGCCTCCTCCTGCCCTGTCTAATTCCACTAGTGGTAAGGTCCCTACGTAGCATTATAGAGAGTACTATAGAGAGAAAGACAGCTGCCCATGTAATGGCTGTCTGGAAGATATGATCCCCTAGCCCGAAGAGAATATATTCAGGATGAAGAATGTTGAAGGAGTTTTTAAGATGCTTACAAGGTCTACTCTGGTTCAATGGCTACTTGAGAGATGTAGGTAAAACTGTGATTGGTGATGCATCTGGAATAATGTTATATCAGAGGCATCAAAGGGGGGAATGTGATGGGTTTCCAGCATGGTCAAAATTTAGTAGGCCAAAATCTCCATGTGGCATATGTGTATGTTGTGTCAGTTAGTCAGCTACATGTAGCTAGGATACTGTCATCAGTGTACTGAGCATGTGCAGGAATGCAGGAACTGAAATTGCACTTATTTCCTTTGTCTTGGATGAGCCATGTGGTTTGACTAGATGTACAAGTCTATATTCTGCTCATTGATTGGTTAAAGGTGTATGTGGGTGTAGCTATTAATGGGAGGAGTTATAGTGCTATATAAGGAATGTACACTATGTGTTGGTCTCTCAGAATGTTGGAACAGGAGTTCATCTGAGACCCGATCGGTAATGTGAATAAAGGCCTGTTACTTCCTGAAGACCTGTGTCCAATATTTCTGTGTTTGGCTTCTGCATGCTTACACTGCAACAGTACATTCCCAATTTTGGCGACGTACTTCAGATTCCTGGGCCCTGTCCTGCAGTCCCGCATTAGTTCCATGGTGCCTGCCCGGCATTTGAGTACAACAGGGAAGCACAGCGTGATCACATCTTTAGAGACGCTTGCTCTGTGCATGGGACACTAGGATCCTGCAGACAGCATTTAAGCAGCAATCTCTGCATGGTCCACTATGCAGGGACCTGACTGGGATACTGTTTGTGAGTCTGACATGCTTGATGCTCAAATGCCGCTTCAGTGGTTGGAACTGCCTATAACTGGGCTGGTCCACCCATTTAGGGGAGTCATCATGATGCAATTGGTATTAATGGTGACGCAGCCTCCGAGGGACCCCCCCTCAATTCCAGTTTCTGGGTTTCCAGTGATGTCATCGTGTGACTGTACATAAGACGTTTTGCCTGTTAGCTTCCACAGGCAAATCTGAAAAAGTAGTTCTCAATAATAATAACTAGGTTCCACACAAAAACCCTATACATCAGACTGGTATAATTAAAGCAATCAGTCCATATTTGGAATGGAATATGAATGATATGCACTAAAAAAAAGGATGTCTCTGGAACTTGATAAAACGATGCCATTCTAAGCTTCGTGGCTCTCCCAGATCTGACTGCAGCACCTGATATTCAGTAGCGTTTTAAGAAAGTAGATTCTCATACATTGCCCCAGAATGGCCCTGATTGCCGGTAATGTTTAGTGTCCTCAGTAGACAGGGTGATGCAATAATTGCAAGCAAAAGTTGTAACGGGTACGAATAGGGTATTTAAAATATTTAAATAAAACTGGTCCATTTAATAAGATCTGAAAGCATTGATGTAAATAGAATGAAAGGTACTTTGAAAATGTAGCTCATAGAATTATATTATTTACAAATATTTCACATCAGAGAAGTCACAATGCCCTGAATTTAGGCAGAGGTACCATGTCTGAAAATTGATGTTTTTCTTACAATACAGCCACTTGCCAGCAGGCCTGGAAGG